TAGAGATAATTTACATTTACAAGTAGTAGTTTGCAAATCAGCTGCGCAGTAAAACACTTTCGGCACCCAAAACAGGTGCCGCGGTAATATTTAAGTTTGGTGTTGGCAGCATCTGCCATATGTTTGATTGATTTGGAAAAAATTTGGTTTACTTGTCACGGGGCAGGGTTATAGAAAATGAACGAAATAGGATAAGCAAAGGGAAAAATCTCCTTATATACTAACGCTATTGGCTATTATTACATTGTTATGAATTAATTATTACATTTCGCATTACCCTTTATTACTAATTATTACTAATTGCATCATATTACCGTCACACACGTGACATTACTGCTTTAGAAATTTTTTTAGATTCCAGATTCCCAGATTCCCAGATTCCCGTGTGGTGTGTGATGCATAAAATTTGATGAACACAGCAATTTGAAAAGCGCAGTAAGTAATTAATGCATTCTCACTTCCCTTAATGTGATTATCTCGTTGCATTAAATTCAGGAGTTATAATTAAAGGCGCGATCCGTAACTTATTAGTTAATATAAATAAACTGTAGTTTTAAAATAAACTACAATTTATTTATATGTATTTTAATTCACAGTTCACATCTCAAGTTGTAATACTTTAAATACTTTACTAATTTCGATTGAAGGCTGTGCAATATGATTACACTCTTAGTGTTGCCATTAAAGATTATCATTTTTGCAAAATTGCGATAAAAGTAGACAATGATCCAATAAAATGTCAAAATTTCGTGCCCTGAATTTTTATTAAATGAAAAAACCCAAGCTTTTCCCTTTGCGACACTCAATAAAATACTGTACAATGAAATTGTTTGATTCTGATTATTTATTAACAAAGCGTCTTTAGTCTCTATTTCTATAAAAATGCTCTATTTTGGTGCTGTTAAATAATAAGAACCTTTGATTCAAAATAAAATATTTTCAATTCACATAATAAAATCGCCAAGCTCCTAGTGCATATCGCGCTGCTGGCGAATTTGTATTCTACTTTACAACACACATGTTAATCTAATAAATGTGATACGAACCTTCTTTATAAATATGATATAAATTTTATGGAGAAATTATTTAAAACCAAATACGGAAAACAACCAAGATAATAAATAAATCTTAATAAAAGTGGGCGGTACTTTACGACACCTATTGTATTAAATATGCAAGCCATTGAGCCGATAACATTTATTTATAGTTAAAATGTTATAGATGCATTGTGCCCGAAGGCTTTTCTTGAGAAAACTATAATTATAACAAAAAAAAAAATAGACGCATTATTTAATTATTATTTATTATAAAACGCACCTATGGTGGTTTTGCACCTATCATATGTTTTATTATGTTTTTTCTAAGTTTGAATATAAAAATTTTTTTCATCACAAAATTTTCATGTTAGTATTAGTATTCAGGGTTAAGGGTTTTTAGGGACATAGAGCATTTTTACTTCGAACATCTTGCATTGATTAATTAGCCAGTTTTTGAGATAATATATACATAGGTGTAAAATACCATAAGACGTTTTAGTAAAAGTTTTTAATTATATAAAGCTTGTAATTTCCTTTCTCTTGAAATTTAAATTGAAATCTAAAGTTTCAAAGTATATATTTTATATTAATACTGTATATCCTGATTCTATCTCAATTTTATTTCCAATTTTATCTCAATTTTACCTCAATATATCCTAATTTTTACCTCAATGGCGGCAAAATTTTATTTTATTTTTACTATAATTCTGGCTTTTTTTTTATTTGTTACTATCGAACTTACACACCATACATTTGCGAACGGTAAACAATATAACTTTGCTTATATTAGCCTTCCTTATTTTTTTAAGTCTATTAGTTTAGAACTAACATGCAATCAATATTATCCAAATGAAAATAGCATTATCATGTAAATCCTTTATTCTTTGTTCCCCACCTCCAAAGTGTCCCCCATGTCCTCCTGGATATAAATGCTATACTTGGTCGCGGACTTGTGAAATATGTACTTACACTGCCTGTATTCCTATACATCCTAATCCTATAGACATTGACTTATTTAGACATTGACTAAAATCCTGAATCAAGAATGTGGATGGACTGCACATGACATATACAGTAGATCCCAGTATGCCGCAGTGCAAATAAATTTTTTAAATACTATTTTGTGATTGAAATATATATGTTATACATAGTATAGAAATGTTGTGGAGTACTAGAAACGGAATTTTACAGAAGTGAAACAAGATACTTTTTAAGTGTGAAGGGAGTCTTTAATGTTTAGTAAGCGTCATTATTCAGGGCGTTCCAAGTTTCTTGATAGGTCAAATGTACTAAAAAATAAATTTAATTAGAGAACAAAGGCATTCATATTAGTATTCTTTATTATTTTTTGTACTGATTTGCAAGATCTTGATGAAATTTAATAAATTTCATAGATAATGGCTGCTTAAAATTTTGTACTTCTTATTATACTTGAAACGGAGTACAACGAAGGTATGGTTACTAGTAAGTTAAGTTCAGATTTATATAATTCTTTATTTTATCTACTTTATTCTGCGTGAGCTTACTATTTTTTGTTGGCTACCTGATTTCGTTTTCATTCAATTAGAATTCACGCAAAATGAGATTTGAACAGTATAAGTTAGGAATAAAGCGGCATTATAGATAAAATCACCTCCCCAACACCGTTATCATTGTAGCTAGTGTATTACCTCGATCATATCATTGATCGATTAGGCTTGATAATCGAGCACGATGTTATAAGCTCGATCAAAAGTGAGTCGATTAATGATCGATTATGTTAATCGATTAAATGTTTAAATTTGATCAATTAAGAAAATAATCTTTTATTTTACAGGATATCATTATAAAATACTATATAATAGATAGATCAAGGCTGACCTAATGATTGGTCGATTATATATGCTCGAGCAAATAAATTACACTCATACTCGACCCGGAAATAGCAAATAATATTGCGTTGGGAAGCAGTTGAATTTGTGTGGCTTATTGCTGCCCGGTGGTTTCCTGACTGCATAACACGGGCCAGTGTTAAACGGAATTTCCCCATTAACCATAGCTGCCGCAACAAATTTGGACCGGCAGATCCTCGATTTTGATTGGCTAACGGCCGAGAATCTTCAAAATTTTGGCCCACATTACAGCAATAGATTCCTATACAATTCTTATTTATACGTAGTGTGATTTTTGTTTTTTGAACAATAGACAATGTTCGAAATAATATCAAATTATACTACTTTGCATACTGTTATTGATATTACCGACAGCTACTAACTTCATAATCTAAAAAATTTTCGAAAAGCACGCATAGCAGTATAATAGTACTGGTCTATAGAATTTCGCGCGAAAACTACAGATTAGGTTATTACATATTAGGCTATTTGCTGATCTTTATACCAGTACGTATTGACGAAATGGAGTAATAATAATTTTCACAATAGCTAAAATCATGAAAAATATTTATTGATGATTTTAACTAAAATCTATACTAATTATGGAAGTGGCTAAGCATTGTAGTTAGATTGAAAGATAAATTAAAAATCAAGTGACTATTACAAGTTTTGGCGTATCTCCATTTATGCAAAAGAAATCAATTTTTTTTTTCAAATCGAAATTAAATTATAATATATCAAAGTATATAGTGTGAATTCTATCAATTAAAATTAAATTAATGAAGGAGGATCATGTCGATGTGATTATATTAAGTTTTGAAATAATGCCTTAAGATTTTAATACTACAGCACTAACTAACGTTAAACATTGTTTAAATCTATTTAGAAATGATCAACCGAAAATGAAAAGACGCGACGAGAAACGCGCGATGAAAAAACGAGATTAAAAGACAAGATGAAAGAAACAAGTGATGTAATTAAGGTTAAGCAATTCAATATACAATTGTTATCATTATATATTAATACAATTAAGAATAAATAAAATGTAAAATGCAAAAAGAAAAGTGTACGAAAGAATTAAACCATAATAAGCAGAAACATTCTTTGATATAATCAAAAAATTTTTTTTACAATTAATAACAAAAATTAATTATTTCCCAAGACGTTTCCTTAAAGCGCGCAGACGTTTTCTCAATTTTTTATGTTTATGCTTGTTCATTTTCAATCTTCTCTTTTGCACAATGTTTGTAAAATATAATTTAAGTTTTCGCCTTTTCATTTCTTCATTTTCGAAGAATTGTTCTTTTGATCTATCTAAAGTGGTATTATTTAATATAATTTGCCCATCTTTTTTGACCTTTGACTCTATATCGGTAAAAAATCTATTAACAATCATCTGTGATTCGGTGGATGTAACGGATATTGTGGGTTGTGTAGGATGGAATGGGGATGAAGTTAAATAAGGAGATAGTGGATTAGAAAGAGACATTGGATTAGGGGTGCTCGAGGATTCGTCTTCGTATACTATTAAAAATTGAATTAAATGTAATAAGGGAGTTTAGTATTTTTTTTTTTTTAAAAAAAAAAAAAATCAATAACTAGCTGAAGGAATAGTTTAAAGCTTATAGTAAATCAAATAGAACTTTGAAATATATATATGTGTATATATTGGTACATGCACAAATGATTACCTTCTTCTTCTTGCTGCTGCTGGACACTATCCATCGCTGGCTGCTCACTTCCAAAAGTCAGTAAAGGTCTATGTAAAGCAAAAAAAGTACTCTGGGCAAGATCCCGAGGATGAATATGATTTACATGTACGAAAGGTAATTCTTGTTTCGGAGGAGTCGCGGAAGTAGTAGTCCGTTTCGTACTATTTGAAGATGAGTACCTATTTGAAGATGAGTACAGTCTTGTCGCAGAGGTTGAAACCAGGTATTTAACAAGATTGTTATAGCTGGTTGGCACTCGTTGGCGAAACAAAGACATTACTGATGCCATGTTTCAAAAGTAAATAGTATGAAGCAAGCGCACGTAAATCTTTATTAATATATTTAATATCTAAAAGAAACAAAGGAATGGTCAGAATTATACACTATTATATAGTGAAGTAGAGACTTAAGTAACGAGGCGTAAAATTCCCAATTCCAGTCAATAAAATTTATCCTATACCTAATTTAACTGTCATGTGATCTATTGTTAAGAAATTTTTCATAAAAGCGCTACCAAAGCACAATGAAATCATATGTCGCTCTGTATGTATTAGCGTCGATATATTCGTATGTGTGTAAATATATATATATATTTATTTATTTATTTATATCGATATGTAAGGTATATAACAGATATATATATAATTTGTATGTTCGCTATTTTTACAACTTGCATTTTCAATCAACTTTAATACTATACGGTACCTAGTTTGTATGAAAACAAGGGTAATAACCTAGACATCTAATTTGTAACAAAAGTCAAAAATTTTATAATCAATTTGATTAATTCATAAGAGTAATAATATATGAACAACGATCGTACTTTCATATTTAACGCAGTTAAAAAATTTAATAGCGATAGTTTCGGTTTTTAAAAGTAACAACATTTATATCTTACACATGAATATATGTAATAAAAATATCTTGAGCCCGTTGTGTATTAGCGGAATGAAGTTTCCGTTTGTAAACATGGATCTGATACGTAGGAGCACTAGTAATATTATATTCGTTCCAGGGAGATTATTTTTCTATATAGTCGAATTTGGAAATTTTGAAAGTCATAATATTCCAGTTAAAACGATTGAATGATATATTTATTCCTGGCTCTATCACACGCGTGGATGCAGTTTTTGATCACCCTTTTTTTTTAAAGAACCAAAAATAGTTACAAATTAAAACTCGTCGGCATCCAACAACAGCAGGGACAGTGCCCACTATGTAGAATGTAGTTTAACATTACACAACTTATAAAAATCTTTTTTTATATTATTTTAAAGTACTTCGAATATCTTGTATTACTCATTTGTGTAATAAGATAATCGCCAATAAGTTAC